CATCCCGTCCCTCAGGCGTGTCAACTGCACCACTCAACTTAGTGTCATTGGCAAACTTGCTGAAGGGTGCACTCGATCCCACTGCCTATGTCACTGATGAAGATATTAAACAGAACTGGTCCCAATATGGACCACTGAGGGACACCTTGCCACCAATCTCCATCTGGACATTGAGCTGTTGACCAATACCATCTGGATGCAACCTTACAACCAATTCGCCAACCACCGAACAGGCCATCCATCAAATCTGTATCTCTCCAAATTAGAGACATTACAGAAGTCCAGATAGACAACATCCATAGCTCTTCCCTTGTCCTCTGATGTAGTTCACTCCATCATAGAAGGCCACTAAGTTGGTCAGGCAAGACTTGGCTGTGGTGAATCCATGCTGGCTCTCTTGTATCACCTCCCTGTCCTTCATGTGCCTTAGCATAGCTTCTAGGAGGATCTGTTCCATGACCTTCCCAGGCACAGAGGTGAGGCTCACAGGTTGGTAGTTCCCAGGGTCCTCCTTTCTACCCTTTTTAAAAATGGGTGCAATGTTTCTCTTTTTCCAGTCACCATGGACTTCATCTGACTGCCATGATTCCAGTTCTCTTGGGACTCTGGGATGCATCTTGTCAGGTCCCATAGACTTATGTATGTTCAAGGTTCCTCAGGTGGTCACAAACCTGATCTTCTCTTACAGTGGGAGGTACTTTGCTCCCCCAGTCCATGTCTTGTGGTCCATCCACTTGAGAGGTGTGGGAAGAGAGGTTGCCAGTGAAGACTGATGAAAAGAAGTTGTGAGTACCTCAGCCTTCGCCTTATCTGTTGTTACCAGTTTGCCAGTCTTGCTCATCAGGGGAAGTACACTTTCTCTGACCTTCCTTTTCTGGCTGACATACCTGTAGGAGCCCTTCTTACTACTCTTTGTATCCCCTTGCCAAGTTCAGCTCCAGCTGCGCTTTGGCCTTCCTGACCCCATCCCTACACAACCGGGCAGCGTCCCTATACTCTTCCCAGGATCCCTGTCCCTGCTTCCACTGCCTGAGCATTTCCTTCTTGCCCTTTAGTTTGACCAGCAGGTCTCAACTCAGCCATGCGGGTCTCGTGTTTACTATTGGTGTTGAGATTCACAAAGAAGATGACAGAACTTCAAAGATCTGTGACTGAAACTGTGGGTAGGAAGGCTGGCTATTAGAAAAAAAGAAAAAGCAGGGTTTAGTTGTGGGTTTTTTGTTTTGGTTTTGTTTGGTTTTGCTTCCAATCTAAACACTTGAATAGAAGCAACAGAAATTAGATCAACTCAAGCTCAAAACTGCAAATAAATATGCTTTAGGATCTTGAAAATGTTGTTTGTTTTTGAAAGAAGTTAAAAGTCACTTCCATTCAATCTGCAGAACAGTACGTCTCAAAGTTTTTCCAATGTAAAAGTGATACTGAGGTAAGATGTTAACTCAGAAGTATAAGCCAGATTTTGCTTAGGAATTTTGACCTATTTGAAGTCACTGTCTTTCAGTTATGGAAACAAACAGGAATTTACCTTCCTCCAAGAACTGAATGTCAGAGGTGTCAAGGTTGTGATCCATTTCAAACAGCTGTTTCCCTAAAAAATAAAAAAATACATTAAGAAAGTAGAAATATGAAATAAAGTCAGAAAGATTTTGTGCTACATGGAGGACAATAATCAAATACTGCATTAAGACTTTATTTACTACCATCATCTTTCGATGTAAAAATTACTTTTAGGCTTGTCATTATAGTCTGGTAATATTTCAAAAACATCAAGACCAGGTTTAAATCATACCGCTTAATTTATTTTTGCCCGCTTGTTCTTCTTCTTTCATTTTTTTCCTCTTTATTTCTAGGAGTTCTGCATCAAACTTTGCTTTCCAATTTAAGAAATTCTCAATGGTAACAGGAGTGCCATGAAAACGTTGCTAAAAGAACAGAAAACAAGACTGTAAACACAACTTGCAAAGCTACAAGTGAAAATGAGCATTCTCTTAATTATTTAAATTACAACATTCCAGAAACACTGCTTGCTGTGAAGTATTCTGAGAAATTAATCCTACCCTGAGAATACACAAACCCCGCATTCTTCCTGTTTTTGTCATGGGACTTTAACTTCAGAGAGCTGTACCAAGGTGGAAATTCTTATGGAAAAACCTTGCGTACTACTTTTGGACCTACAGGGCAATAGTTAGCAACACACCACTAATACAGGTTATCCATAAGTAGGCAGTGCTTCTTATCAACTCTTAAGTGCAATCTACACTGAATTAAAATACACTAACCCTTTTATCTTGTTGAGACAAAAAAAGGGTTCTTGTTTTCCAGCTATTTTTCTGCTGTTTTCAAAACCACTGAACCTTCTGCCCTCTAGCTATTTCTGAGGAAGAAAGTGAAGATTCAGTAGTTGGACTTGTCACAGCACACTCAATGAATGGAAAAACTATTCCACTGTGGCTGGTAGAAAGGACACGTGCAGGGAGGACAAACCAGATCTTGAAGACTGGTCCGACCCTACCCAGTCTACCAAGGAGGAGAGACTTAGACCATGCAGCCTGTATGCAGCATTCTAGCCCTTTTTGCTCCCCATCCCCTCTTGCCTCTTCAAACAAGAAACTGGCTACAGCAACTTTGATTTAATCTGGGAAAAATCCCTGCCCCTGCCTTAGGAAGTAATGCTAGAAGGGATTGTGAACATGCAACACATCTCTGAAAAGACTGCTTTAGAAAATGGGGGGAAGGAAAAATCACTTAAGCGCACCAAAGAATCTTCCAGTCCTCAAGTTTTAATTACATCAACTTTGGGAGAGATGTTCCTCTCCCAGTGAAATCGAGAACTGCTCCTGCATCAAACCCATGCATTCAAAAAAACCAGGAAAAAAAAAAAACCAGGAAATTTTTAGTTGAAAACATTTTACATACTTTCTCTTCTTCTTCTGCTTCTTTTTCTTTCTGTTTCTTTTCCTCTTCTCTCCGTGTTTTTATTTGATCCACTATTTCATTTAATTTCTCCTGTACTGCTGAGACTAGAGTGAAGATCATTACCATTCCTAAATTTTCTTCTGCCTACAACACAAAGAATGCAACCTCAAACAGGAGAGCCTCAAACCTCAAGCAGTTGAATGCATAAATACGTTTAAAAAGCAGTATGCTGTGCAAATGCAGATAACACAGCTGAAGCACTCTGTGCCGATCTCAAAAGCACACCGCAAAATTCAAGTCAATTGGCCAGTTAAAATTACTCCCAAATGGGTGTGCAGCAAAACACCACTGATGACCTCTACGTTCAGGTTATCAACGTACTATAGATATCAGGAACGCTTTTTCATTAATAAAACAAAACCTATAGTAGGAATACAACTCCAAGATTTGAATATTATAAACCTTAGAAGACAACAGACACTCAGAACTATTCTCCTGAAATGGCTTGTTCCTTAATCCCATTACATGCCCCTTTGAAATGGGAGAGTTACCCAGGAAAACCAGAAAACATCAGTTGATGGAAGGAAGGTTATATGAAGTAAACTGAAAAGAAAGAATGTCTGCTGAAGATATTGTGGCAGTTTTAAGACAGGGAGGACTTGTCAAGAATTCCTGAAACCAAAGAAGTGTTTCCTTTTCATTCCTTTACAATGCACCCTTATTGATCCCAAAGGCTGAAGAGACATTCCCTCTCCCCCTCCAAATAGTTGTGTTATTAAAAAGAATCAATGGAGCATTTTTTAATCTTTCCAAATAAAATTGAAGTGGTTTATTTTCACAAATACTACATATACAGTTAAATTCACCTTAAGCTAGAACTGCAAGAGGACAAGCCCTAGAGCACTTCCATTTCATTACTGTACCTGTGTACACTGAATTCGGCCTGTATTTTTACCTCATTAACATAATTTATCTCAATAATGTCATTTACCAAACTCAAACTTCAAAGTCAGTCCTTACAATATGGAATATGTTTTAAATCAGTAGCACATGCCTCAGGAAACAACTGACTTGAGAGAGAAATTCTGGCTAAAGTGTGAAGTGATTATCAAGCTGAATTGAGATATCCCATTTTCCTTACCTGTTGTTCTAGTAGTTTTATTATGTCTGTGACATCATTATCATCAAGATTCTCCTGTGAGACAATTTCATAAAGTGGAGTTTCATCGGGATATTTTTCTCTATAGGTAAATTTAAGTGTTGTTTGGACAGCTACAAGATAAAAAAAAAACCAAAACATATTCTTCAGGTGGTAAGTTTATATAGCTCTGACTGTATATTTTTCTATTGCATCAGCAGCCTAAAGATTTTAAAATACAAAGTATTCTTATCTTAAAGGAACAGTCATCCTACACAGATGTTAAAACTGTATGAACAGATTTAAATATAACGCAAGAGTTTTGAGAAATTAAGACGATGACGTTTAGCCTTACATAAACTATTACAGGCTATTAATGTCTGAAAGGTCTTTAGCAATACTGGAAAACCTCTAGTACCTACTGTACCACAGAAGCAGTAATCTCTTTTCCCTCATATCCCACTTAAAGTTGGAGAAAATGAGGAAGAGTCCTAACAACAGATCTAGAGAGAATCTCAGTATATTAAGGCTTTAAATTCTGTGTGCTTGGCTGGAGTATCATCCTCTGTGTTGGGTACCAGGGCTCCCCATAAATCATATGACAAGGACATAAGTATGTCAGTGATGAAAGGAGGACGAGGGAAAATGTGGGTCCCCTCCGGAATGAAACGGGTGATCTGGTTACCCACGATATGGAGAAGGCTGAGGTACTCAATGACGACTTTGCCTCAGTCTTCACTGGCAAATGCTTGAGCCACACTGCCCAGGTCACAGAAGACAAAGGCAGGGACTCGGAGAATGCAGAACCACCCACTGTAGGAGAA